CCAGGTTTTGAGGGCTTTGCGGAAAGCCTGGAGGGTGGTGAGGGTCCGAATCTCCACGGGGAGCTCGTTCCAGAAGTTACCCAATTATCCACACCTATTCCTCTCCCCTACATCTAGTTCTTAAGGGCTTGCTGAATGAGAATATCCAACTTCAAAGCGCCATGGGGTTTATTTTTTTAGATAAGAGAAAATTGCAGAAGGCTGAATTGGGCAGAAAATCCAAAGGAATAACGTAGCCCCTTTCCAATTAAAAAAAAAAACTTTTTATTAAAAGGCATGAAATTTTGTGAACTGCAGCTGACTTCATCAAATGCACGGAGTAGTTAAAGGGGGCAAGGTGGGAAGGAAGGATGCTTTATGCAGATCCAGGTTTCATATGAAACAAGTTGTTCAATCCCTCGTCATTAAGCGAGAGCAGTCAAATCAGAGAACTGGCACTAGAATCTTGAAAAGAGTGGAGACAGAGTTGGGCACAGGGCCAGAGAGAGAGAGAGGCCCAATTTGTCTGGATTGCAAAGGCATGTTGTCATTGGGAGTGTAAACCGAAGTGCATATATGCAAAAGAAACCATACTCCTTTGCCAGAAAAGCACAATTATTCTGCAGAGAAAAGGAGGGGAGGAAACGGATGCTGTCAAGAGGCCAAACAGGCGCAGCCAGAGGCAAACAGAGAGATGAGTCAACCAGCGGTCAAAGGAGATGTGCCATTTGCTGAACCTTCCTCCTCATTTACGTAGAGCAGCGAGGCACTGCGGGTCTCGGTGGTCGGCCAAATTCTGCCTAGCAGGAACAACTGTTGGACTGTGAAGCCGATGCATCCTTCAGGGCAGCGTTCTTGTGATTGGTGCTGTTCATGCCAGAGCTCGCATCCAGGCTCTCGTTCATCTTCTCACAGATTATGTCCACCAAGCGTTCAAAGACCTGCTTAACATTGATATTATCCTTGGCACTGGCTTCAAAGAATTCTAAACCTGGAAGGAGAAGAAATGTTAAAAAAAAGAATAGCAATAGCAATAGCAATAGCAGTTAGACTTATATACCGCTTCATAGGGCTTTCAGCCCTCTCTAAGCGGTTTACAGAGTCAGC